CATATTGACAGAAAAGTGCTCTACCACTAAGAAGAATGTTCCTGCAAAAGATAACAAGCAACTTTAATTACAAAGGGCTTCTCTGAGGTCTTGTTGACTCTAGACAGGAGGCTTAAATATAAAACAACCAATACAGTAAGTTATTGTTGTTATGTGTTGTTGAGTTGCCTGTGATGTATAACGACCATAGTGATCATATAAACAAGAGTTCAGAAACTTGCCTTATCCTCTGACATCCCCACCTTCTCTGTCATGATTCAAATCACTGTTACAGCCCCTGTATCAATCTATCTTGTTTGGGTTTTTTAAATTTTTTATTCTGATTTATCTACAAAGTTTTAATACATTTTTTTCCACAAAAGATCCTTCTCAATTCCTCCACCCCACCCACCCATCGATCAAATTGTATGATCTTATGATTAACACCCTACCCCCCATCTTTACCTCCCTATTTCTACCCTCCCTTTCACCTTGGATCCTCATACTCATTCTACAATAAAGGTTTTATGCAGTATTTGTCCTTGTGCGACTGAGTTAGTTAACTCAGCATAATGCTCTCCAGTTCCTCCCGAGTTAGATAGTAATTTACAAAATGATTACTCCTGCATGCTGCATTGTATTCCATTATATGAATGTACCACAACTTCTCAATCGATTCATTTGTGGTTGAACATCTGGTCGGTTTCCATGTTCTTGCAATGGTGAATAATGCTGCTATGAACATTGTCAATCCATCTCGTTAATGGTCTTCCACCTTTTCTTTGATTCTACACTTTTCCTAGCTTATTGTGTTTTCTAAGGACTGGTCCCATCTAACAACATGTCTGTGAAAGGAGCCAGTGTAACATAGGAATGGCTGAATCTGACTTCTACTTGCCTTATGAAGGAAAATTGTCTCCATCAATAATATCCATGCTGTTGTTTCTGTTATGTGCCATGCTGTCACCTGCAATGCATAGTGACCTTGTCTACAGCAGGTCTGAACTTGGACCTTTCCTGAGCCAGTTTCACTAATTCCAACACACTGACTCCCATTGCCTCAGTTACTGTATCAATCCATTTAATCTGGGGTATTCCTCTCCTGTGCTATCCCTCAACCCTTCCAAGAATAATATTCTTCTCCAAGGACAGACCTCTTCTGGTTACTTACCCATAGTATGTGAGACAGAGTTTCAAAATCCTACCCTCAAAGAAGAATCTTGGTTTCACCCTCTCCAAATCAGACCTTTTTGTTTTGTTGGCAGTTCATAGTATGTTTAAGAATCTTCTCCAGCACCACAGTTTGAAAGCATCAATTCTTCTTCCATCACCCTTAGTCATTGTCTAGATCTCTGACACAAGTAAGGAATTGTGAAGACTGTGGGCTGGATTAGGTGCTCCTTAGTCTCTAGACTGACATCATAGCTTCTCAGCACTCTGGAGAAGTCCCTGACAGCAGATTTTCCCAATGTAATTAATCTTTTGATTTCCTGAGTGGTGGTGTTAAGAATGCGGATTGTGGAGACAAGCAAGCTATAATTGGTAACAGCCTCAATCAATAATATCCATGGAGCAAACAAATAGCTTCTCCATAAGATGTGTGACCTGCCATGCTCCTGTACACCTCTTCCTACCAGTCATTCAATACAATATTCATTGACTCACAGACTTTACTTACAATTTTGGGTTCTATAGGGAGAAAAGTTGGAGAGTTAGGGAGAAGAAGAATCATCCAGTCCATGTCTAGGTTTAGTCCAGCAGTCCCAAGTCAGATTTACAAAACAACATTCCCCAATTAGTAAAAGTCCAAATTCAGTTTAGCAGCATAAATACAAGAAGCATCTTGTTTTTTTAATCATCCCACAAACATTGTCTCAGAGCAGTTATAAGTTAACTTTTCCTCTAATGATCCAGCAAGCAAAATCTTTAACTCTAGCCTTTATCTCAGAGCAGTTACAAATCAGCTGTTCCACAGTCTCTTCACAGAAGTACCACAGCCTCTTCACATTCAAGCACCATCTTTCACATACAGTCATTCCAACGTTGTCACCACTATCCCTCACAGAGTGGAAGGGGCTTTCTTATATTGGCCCTACAGTTGTGGCTAATTTGCAAGATCTTGTGTCTTCATTTAAGGTAGTTGGAGACCATGCCCCACCCCCCAAGAGGGAGCTAGTGCAATGGCTACAATGCCAATTTCCTAGGGTTCTGACACCCTAATGTACAAAGAATGTGAGATTAAGTTTTACCATTTTTCCTTCTAAAGAGCATCCTGATTGCAGTTCCTCCAAGACAGGATTGATCATCATTTTCACAGTTCATGGGATATTCAATGCTCTTCCCCACTACCACAATCCAAAGGTGCTGATTCTCCTTTGGCCTTTTATATTCCTTTTCCAACTTTCAAATGCATACCAACCATTCAAAAAT